TGTGTGTGTGTGTGTGTGTGTGTGTGTGTGTGTGTGTGTGTGTGTGCGTGGGTGTATGTGTGCGTGTGCGTGTGTATGTGTATGTGTGTATGTATTGTTTTCGTTCTCATATCGCTATCTGTTAGTCTGTTTGTCTATCTGTATGTATGTATGTATGTATGTATGTATGTATGTATGTATGTATGTATGTATGTATGTATGTATGTATGTATGTATGTATGTATGTATGTATGTATGTATGTATGTATGTATGTATGTATGTATGTATGTATGTATGTATGCATGCATGTATGTATGTGAAACCTAGTTGCGTTACGTTTAGTTTCAGTTCGTGTAGATACGTCGGGAGACACCCGACTGTGTGTGTGTGTGTGTGTGTGGTTTGAGGTCGTAATATTATAAGTCTTGCGTTGTGTTATTGTTCCTAACCCGTGGTCTCGTTTCGTGTTTCGTTTCCGCTCGAAGGAAAAGCGATCACACAAATAATTTCACAAGTCTAAATGAGCTTCCACGCACCAAGATTTATTGTTGCTCACGCTACGCGTGAGCAAGAGTCCGGAAATGTAGTCTAATACATGGGGGCCGTTGTCAGAAACAAATTAGTCTTAGCATTAATCTTAGCATTAACTTTTTCTCATAGAGCGTTGAGAGAAACTTCGTAAAGTTAAGAGAATTAAAAATTCTCGTAACTTTTTTCTTAACTTACGAGATCCTAGACCTTCTCTTAACTTTAATATTAAGTTGGAAATAACACATTTACACTACGAATTACAATTATAATGATATTATATTTGATAATAATGAATAAAATGTGTGTTTTTCTTAAAATACACGTCAAAATCATTAATTATCTACCGCTAATAAAACAAAACAATACATTAACAAATGGCGTATGGCATTTGTTCTCTTGTTTTAAATGCTTGCCATGCTTGCCACGACTCTCGCGTCTCGTGTTACAGTGTGAGAATTTGTCTTGTTGTGCAGAATAAATTCATGATCACGTCATTTTTCATCAAATATTATTTATATGTGGTGTAACGTGTGTTTTACACATGTTCATTGAATTGGTAGCCATGTGTGGTGGTTAGCCATCATAATATGCATAAATTACTGTGATGTACAATAAATGTGTATGAATTTGAATTTTGTGATCGATTCTCATCCAATCAGCAGCCTTGTGACATGAAACTATGAAGTTCCTGTTATCGTGAGTTTTCACTTAAGTATGTTTAGTTACGATAGGTTTCTGTCAACGCTATTAACTTTTCTCTTAACATTAACATTAGACTTAAAATTAATCGTAACTTTACGACGTTTCTGACAACGGGCCCCTGAATCGTAACTGTGCGCGCGTTTGGAAACTAAAAAATCCCAAGGCGCGCTCTGATATTTATATGGACCAGCGAGGTGACGTCACATCAGAGGTCACCAAGGCCACTGCAGGCCGAAAGGCGTCCCTTCGCCACTCGCCTGTAGCGCACTGCACCACGTCGCGTACGTACGTGTCTACATCCGGGTTTGCGCGTTTATCTGTATAGGTGTGGACGTTTATATATCCGCTGGCGCCGTAAAGACGTAAACATAATATTGTTCCCACATTTACGGATTGCCTTGCTAGGCTGACGGCTACGCACACAAAAATCACGTATGAATCTTATACAATACTTTTACTAATTACAAACTCTACGCGCCGCACTGTTATATCACTCATGCCGCAAATAACCTGCTTGACTCAACGTCAACAAGTGTTGTCCTAAATAATCGAAATCATCCAGACCGATGCAATAATAATCATAACTAGTGATCATCGTGGTATTCATAACCGACTTAATGCCCGATATTGCATGCTTATACAACACTCACTCGCGTGCTCAGCACTAATCTTACGCATAGTGACAAATTCAAGCCTTTACAAAATGGGCGTCATTGTAAGGAAGAGACACGGACACAATGGAAGGAGATACAAAGGATCTCTCAACGTCTCGTCGATGCGCTCGCCAAGGATCTTTTAACTCTGGCCCTGCCTTGCTGCGGCGTGTCCTAGTGGCTCCTGTACCCTCGTTGGAGCCGTCGTTATCTCGTGCAGTGAGCTTCGCTCGCTTCACTGCCTGTGTTGGAGAACTTGCTTCATCCAACGCCTGGTCTGCTAGCCTCCTGGACGGTTGTGAATCGCTCACCGTCCGCATCCTACAATAAGTCTCTCCTCCACGCCAATGCTCGTGGCTGTACTCCCCGCCTCCGACGGGGTATAGATGATTGTGTCATCAGGCTCCTGAGCCTCAATGTCACCTGCAGATGGATCCATCAGGAGTGGATCAACTGCACGAGGCACTGACGGCTGCGGTCGACTGGTAGAATCTGCTTAAGCCTTGGGTGTGTGATGCAATGACTGCGTGGAACGTCTTTCTCATCGAAGTCATCATCGCTACAACCACCTTGTCGGGCGGTTATGCTAATGTCGCTGCCCTTCGGGGTTGGCGACGTCTTTCTCCCTGCATGGGTTGTCGGTTGCTCACGTGAGTGTTTGTTTGTATGTTATTGGCACTGCACTTGCATGTCGTCCGTCTGATATTCTTTACACATTACATACGTCAAAAAAACTGCCTACCAGGTAGGTCTATCGGGAAAATATTTATCTATTCAAACGTGTACGGATGGCTGCAGTTTCCCGCGGCTGCCTTGCTGCTGCTGCTGCTGCTTCCACGGTGTGCTATTTTGGTAGGCAGGGCGTGCAGTCTACCTCCACGTCGCCGGTTGAATCTGCATCCGCCGCAGTAGCGGCTGCGCATATGGTAGATAGTAGCGTGATTGCAATGGTGGCTTGATCGCTGCGCCTTGATCATGCCGCTTGCTTGCTGTTGCAGTGATGATCGCAGTTATGCCTCGATTTGTTCTTCATCATTCGTGCGCCAGGTTATTCTCTCCTCATAGAATCTGATTACAATCTGGGGGTATATAATATTAGTATATCGTACTAGGACACAATCTGCCTCATTGCTGCCTTTCCATTTCATCAAGAACATGAGCTCTCCCCTGGACTCGATTGCGCCGATGATGCGTTCTGGTTGGAGTCCTCGTGCGAAGCCACGTGAATTCGAAAAGTCCTCCTCCTCCATCTTCTTTTCTTGTTTCAACTTTCGTTCGGGTAATCTAGATAGGGATATAAGATGAGGAGATAAATTGTATGGCGGCTTATTTAATATTAAAACAACTATTACTTTGTTAAATTACGCTAAAAGCTGAGCACTTTTGCGGGTGTTGTACTCACATGAAACGGCGTCTACGCTGCGATGTGTAGCGGCTATCGCTGCTGTGCTCTGCTGTGCTCTGCTGCTGCTGTCGTTAGCGACACTCTACTGTCGACGTTGACGATGCCTCTGCTGTCACTCGGCTGTCGCTGCTGCGGTCGACGCTGACGATGGCAGACTGCCGTCGCTACTGTTAATGTTGGTGTTCCTGCTGGCTCTCTCCTCACGGTAATGATGCTACTGTCGGCGCTGTTGCTGCTGTTGTTGCTGTTACTGTTGCTGACGCTGCCGCTGATACCGCTGCTGATGCTGCTGTTGTTGCTGTTACTGTTACTGCTGACGCCGGCGATAACGCTGGTGTTCACGCTGCGGCGATCGACGTTGACGATTTCACGGTTAATATTGCTGTGTGATGTTTCCTTCCACACAAATTCTAGTCGAATGGCGCCAATGAAATCTGGTCGAATTAAGATTTCAGTTCGGTGTGTCAGTTTATGTGATCGTATAGTCAGATGTAGTTTTTCAAACCTTGCGTTGTGTTATTGTTCCTAACCCGTGGTCTCGTTTCGTGTTTCGTTTCCGCTTAAAGAAAAAGCGATCACACAAATAATTTCGCGTGAGCAAGAGTCCGGAAATGTAGTCTAATACATGAATAGTAACTGTGCGCGCGTTTTGAAACTAAAAACTCCCATGGCGCGCTCTGATATTTATATGGACCAGCGAGGTGACGTCACATCAGGAGTCCCCAAGACCACTGCAGGCCGAAAGGTGTCCCCTCGCCACTCACCTGTAGCGCACTGCACCACGTCGCGTACGTACGTGTCTACATCCGGGTTTGCGCGTTTATCTGTAGGTGTGGACGTTTATATGTCCGCTGGCGCCGTAAAGACGTAAACATATTATTGTTCCCACATTTACGGATTGCCTTGCTAGGCTGACGGCTACGCACACAAAAGTCACGTATGAATCTTATACAATACTTTTACTAATTACAAACTCTACGCGCCGCACTGTTACATATGTATGTATGTATGTATGTATGTATGTATGTATGTATGTATGTATGTATGTATGTATGTATGTATGTATGTATGTATGTATGTAAGCCCTGCATACCGTCTGCGCCTACCTGTCCTCTGATCATCGCGGTCGCGTCTTACACCTGCCCTCTGAGCATCGCTCCGCTTCTTCGTGGCGGATGATTGGCGCGCTCGCAAATCAGAGCCTCGCTCTCGTGCGCCGCGGCGCGCATGCGCGATCGCAAGAGGTAAGTGAGAAGGGGCCCCCTGATAGGGCGCAAATCGTTACTTAAAGCCACAGGAGAGGAACTATTCGCTAGAAAGGCCAGAAGCAAGCAAGTCGTACGAAACCTTCGCGCGTACCACCGCCACCACCACCGGCAGCAGCAGCAGCAGCAGAAGCAGTAGTAAGTCTGTATAAATAACTGTCTCAGTAGTGTGCAGTATCTGGTTTACGCTGCGCGCGGCGCGTGTAACAAACGGATATTGAATTAGGAGCTAAATTTAATTACATTGAAATGAATTACATTGTATTGAATTGAATTGAATTGCATCGATTTCAATTGAATTACGTTAAAATGCCGTAGGGCCAAAATGCTTTCGCCTAGTTTAGTGTTTAGCTGTGATTCGGGGTTATAGCGGTAGGTGTGATCTTGCGTGAGTTTCCCTTTACACCTGACTTGCATCGTATTTCATATGTGCGCGCGTGCAGACGTGCATGCACGCGTGTGTGCGACCGTACCCTTACGTCCGCGCGTGCGTGTGTGCGTGCGCGCGTGCGCGCGTGTGTGCGTGTGCGTGCGTGCAAACGTGCATGCATGCGTGTGTGCGACCGTACCCTTACGTCCGCGCGTGCGTGCGTTCGTGCGTGCGCGCGTGTGTGCGTAAGTGAGTGCGTGCGTGCGTAAACTCTGGTACCACTCTCGCGGCGTGCAATGCTAGGATATATCTATGAAGTTATACTGTTAGTATATGTAAGGATTAGCTGGGCTGGCTGGGCTGGATATTAAGGATTAGGTTAGGCGACTTGGAATTCAATATTACATGTACGTTATATATATAACTACGAAAAAAGTTGAAAAAATAATATATATAAATACATATAAAATATATACATAATACTATATTATACATTGAGAGAGGAGATAGACGCATGACGAGAGAGAGAGAGAGAGGAGAGAGAGAAAGAGCGAAGACGAAAGAGAGAGAGAGAGAGTAGAAAGAGAGAGACGAGAGAGAGAGAGAGAGAAAGAGAGAGCAGAGAAGAGAGAGAGGCGCCCAGGCGGCGCGGCGAGAGAGAGAGGAGGACACAGCCCATAGAAGAGAGAGAGGAAGATCAAGGTGAGGTGCGTCTGGCACAGTTAGAGCGTCGCAGCAAATTGTGTGTGCGTTAGAGAGAGAAAGGGGGGAAATTGGTTGTGAGAGCAAGAAAACATAAGGAGACGTGAAGAGATAAATAAAGATGGAAAGAACAATAACAAGGATAGAAAGAGCGAGAAGAAAGAGTTAGAAGAAGAGATGTTGGGGTAAGAAGATGTAGATAAGATACGGATAGACGAGAGAGGAGAGAGACGTGAGCGAGAGAGAAGAAGGAGTCGAGAGAGATAGGAGTGACGAGCTGGAGAGAGGAGAGAGAGAAAGAGAAAGAGAGAGAGAGACGAGCGATAGCGAATGAGAAAAAGAGAAAAAAAAAAAGACGAAAAAAGCAAGAAGAGGAAAAAACAAAGAAGGGGAGGGAAGG